ATAGATAGATAGATAGATAGATAGATAGATAGATAGATAGATAGATAGATAATGTTTTTACAATGAAAACTATCCAGAGTTCATTGAAACCAGGTGGTACCTAAATCAGATTAAATAAATACTGTTTTTCCTTAACATCCAGGCACAAATGTGTCTATGTGCTTAGTATAGATTGATAAATGTGCAGATATTAGGTTTAAGCTATAGTGTAACTTAATTAATTTGCTATTTTCCAATGTAGCATAGAAGGCTTTATTTCTTTCCAATATCTGAATGTCGAATGTATTATGATATGAAAATATTCTCAGAAAATATATTTTTTCCAAATAAAAGGAAAAGTGAGGGGTTTTTTTGAATTATTTTATTTTAGTGGTAGCTTGTCATATTAATGATTTACATCATAGTAATGGTTTATTAATCATTAATAAGTGTTTATTAGATTGGCTGTAGATAATTAAAACATCACTTATATTGTCCAGTATATTGGAGTGTAAGAAATTATCAGCAAGAATTAAATCATGATGAATGAATGGATAAAGACTTTTATTGGTTGAAGCCAAAGATGTTAGCAAAAGATTAAAAAGGCTTGATACCGTGGTGAACAAAAATATAACAAAGCATTGCTTAACTGACTCTAATATTCATGTGAAGATTTCACAAGTCAGTTTGTCATTATATTCAACAATGTATCTAATATATTGCTTATTAATTTTACAACAAATATTTATGTAATGATGCAAGCTATTTATAATTATGGGTGGGGTGTCAGAAAGGTAGCTTGGATCCATAGTGTGTATTGCACAAACGTTATAGAACTGCCCTTTTTTTCGTATTACACAACATTTCTGTTCCTTGCTCAAGACAAAAGAAATGCAACATGAATCCTTATGTGCATGCCATTTACTTATTTAACCAAACACAATTTTTAAAGAAGGGCTAGGTATTTTTTTTACAAACCCCATTGAAGGTGTTTTCCCTAGGCATTTAAATATTGCTGGAGATTGAGACAAAATGGTAAACAGTAACTTGGTGGTTAAGCAAATTGTACTGGGAAATGGCACTGTAAGGATGGTGAAGTTTGACTACTCTTCCTATCCAAATCTAGATGGGGCCATTGTGGTTGTTGGGAATGAATTTAAAGAGAATGAAGTCTATTTGTAATAATTTGGACTAAACATGAAATATTATGCAATTGGTTCATCATGGCCTTTCGATGCTAACCTTTCTAGATTCCCATCATCTCTCTTTTGTTTAAACTTACTATGTTTATTTACTTATTTACTGTTTTTGACATCTGTCTGATTTTTACATGACTTAATAGACATGATAGGGTTTGTTAATCAATTCAGTTAAAATACTTATGGTCAATGAATATAATGCTCAAGGATTTACAAATATAAATAATAGATTTTTAAAAATAGCTCTGTGCCAAGAGTCCAGAATGCTATGACTCCTGATGCTTCTTTTTAAACTAAATGTTTTGCTACCAAACATCCAGTTATCCTTGTAATTTTCTCACCAAGCTTCACTAAAAGTTCAATATGATTAGTGTTTTTTTTTTAAATTTCAGTGCTTGTCATAATTGTGAAATATCTATACTGAAAGGAAAGTAATTTGGGATATTGACCATAGAACCTAAATGACTCTTTATATCTGTGAAATGGATTCATTCATTTGTTCAATTTTTTTCCTGCTCCAATCAAAATAACCTAGTGGATTACAAACATGTCAGCAAAATGTCCATGGTACAGATGCATGCTAAATAGCAATCATGAAAAATTAAAACCATTACCCCAAAATTATAGAAACAATCAATAACCACATGAAAAAGATGGCATCATTATAAATCAAAAGCATTCCCAGAGAAACATTTTAGTAATTTTCTGAAGCCTAATAAGTTAGAAAAACAAAACTCAGTGTCTAGAGTATAATCATGGCTGATCAATACATTATTATAATTACTTGGAAGACTTCTATAGTCATATGCTGCTTTCCTTACAGACTTTGTGTACAGCAGCATTCATGAGGATGGGGTGGGGTGGGGTCAAATTTGGCAAGATAACATTCAGAGTTGTGATGCGAGCCCTACCTATCTTGAATGTGCATCAACCCATGTACAAAATGGGTGGGGTTTGCATTATGATAAACTGCCTGCCATCTTGCCAGTTTTGAACCCACCCCTGTGGACTTGCTGAATGTCAAGTTTCCTTGATGGTGCTGATATACCAAGATGACTTGAAAGTCTGTGTGATATGTTATCTTGAAATCCACAGACTCCTTCATGTCTGGAAGAACTTGCAGAATCCACTTGCAATAAATAATCCTGAAATAAATACAGTATCTCTAAAACAGTGTTTCTCAACCTTGGCAATTGAAGATGGGTAGACTTCAACTCCAAGAATTCCCCAGACAGCATGCTGAAGTCCACTCATCTTCAAGTTACCAAGGTTGAGAAACACTGCTGTAAAAGAAGTTCAGAAGAATAAGGAAAGGGATGAATAGAAGGAGGGCTGGGTTTCACACACTCATTTCACATTCAGGTCACACATTGCACTGGTGCTGATCTGAGAGGGTGGAGATGAAGTTGCTATACAACATTTTGACTGATCAGCATTTGAAACCCTCTGTATGGAAGCATTATAGTGGAATTCTTGCAGGTCTATGTTTTATCCTATATCCCTTAGGTATGTATAATCTTGTCTAGCAGTTAGTAATTTTCTGATATTTGGGACTCAGATTTGCCATACCTTAATTTTTATAAATCCACAAATCAAACAATGCTACAACTTAGTTAAGTTATATAATAAATGCTATTTTTTATGTCTATGTTTTATCCCATGTCCTTTAGTTAGGTATGTATAATCGTGTCTAGCAGTTTGATATTTGGGATATACAGCCTATAGCTGTAGTTGGGAATTCAGAAATAAAATAATTGTGAAAAGAGAGCCACAGCATCTTGTCCCCTCTTTCTTCCCAGGAGAATATGTTGAGTTTCTGTGAAAATACAAGCAGGATTTAGAAATGGCAACCTTCAGTCAGAAAGCTTTGAACTCCTGGAAAGTTCTGATGTCTATTGAAATTAATGTATTAATGCATGACCAACTTGAATATTTACAAATAATTATAAAACATCTTACATCAGTATTTTCGGACTGAAAGAAAATCCAGTCTAAAAAAAAATTCTCTGCTTTTATTTTTATACCAGTTCTATACTTATTTTAATGATGACACTTACTCTTATGCCCTATGCCTTAAAACTAAATCATGCTCAACAAAGTCTTTTCTTCTGACCTAAACTAAAAATTCCAGGGCCCCAAAGGAAAAACACAGGAGGGGAAATAAACCAGTGAATTATTTAAACAAATAATTATTAAAACAGAATGCGAAAAGAGAGAAAATTGAACTACTTCTCCCCTCCACCCCAAAAAAGGAGGAGAAGGAGGTGGAGGAGAGAATTTGCATACAGCTGTATGTGCTAATTAACACTTACAGATACTAATATGAAAATAATTACCATGCTATCATTTAAATAGAAGTGCAATGCATTTTGGTATTATGAGGGAGGTGTTTTGGGCGCTTACTTAGGGTAATTCCCCACTGATTTGTCACTCATCTTGTCTACAGCAGTTCAAGCTGCTCTTCCAGTGCTCTCACTCCCAACTGCAGACCCACGCCCAG